TTTGTTTGGTTTTTGTTTCTTTTTTTTTGTTCTGGGAATCGAACTTATGACCTTGTGCTTGCCGTGCCGGTGCTGTGGTGCTAAGCTATATCCCCGGCTAGGTGGGGCTTTTTGGGGAGACTGGATCATGGCTCTGATACTGGATTGGTCCTCTCGTGGATTTACAGCTGGGTGTGATGTTGAGGGGTAAAGCATGGTGGGAAGATACGGGTCTCTGGGTGTGAACTCAAAGGGTCTGTGTATCTCACTCCTCCCGTCTCGACGGCCTGCTGCTGCCCATTGCCGTGCGCAGGCTCCCTGTGTGCTGTGCCGCTGCCAAGCCACCGTGCCTGGGAGCCAGCCAGCTAGGGGTGAAACCTCTGCAAACTGTGAACCCAAATCAGCTGTGCCTCCTGTGAACTGTGCGTGCGGGGTAGCGGGTCTCAGTGCCGAGGAAGAATCTCACACAGGTTTGTTCAGCTGCAGCGTTTTGGCGACAGTAGTACTTGCGCACCTTGTCTGTGGGAGTGTAAATGGAGCTCAGAGTTGCCTCTGCCGCAGCTCACACTTACTGTTAAGCTGCAGTGAGAAGAGATTTCACTCACTGTGTGTGATGTGCTTGTCGTTGTGTCTCCTGGGTCTTCGGTGGCTGTGTCGGAAGGGTCCCGTGCACTGAGGGGCAGCAGATAGCCTTCTTCTCAAGCGCCTTTACCATACTCGGTTCTGCTTGCTACTGGTGTCTTTCCACAGTTCCACCTTCTTTGCCCGTTTCCTCATCTGCTCGTGGAGCTTGTTTTCTATTTGGTATTTTCTCTTGTGGTTTATATGTTTACTGTTATTTCTTAGATATTATGTTTTTTTTTTGTTATTTGTTATTGTATTTTTCTTAGGTTTTTTGCTTGGTATACAAACTCTTTTTGCATGCACTGAGTATATATTTTTTTCATTTCGTGACTCTGACCTGGACTTACAGAGGTTTTCGTTTCTCCCTCTCATTCTGATAGCTTCATGCTTTTCTTCTGGGGAAACACTTGTTTTCCCTGTGAGTTTACAGTGTTTATCTTTCCCTTTTGGAGAGGTAATTTTATTATCGTACAAGGCATATGAAGACAAAAATATATTTCTCCCTGCCTGCTATATTAAACGTATTGTGATTCTGCCTCTGTTGATATGAGCTGTATAATCAATGAATATTCTTTATGGCCCGTATCTCCATGTCCCCCAAAGCCTCATGTGGCCATAGGTGGGACTTTTCAGACATGGACGGATCTACATACGATGCTGGGATTGCATTCATGGTGCAATGCTAGAATCAAGGGTGTGAGTGCTGCTACCATGGATAAGTATCAGGGGCAGCAAGAGGCTTGTTCTCACCCACTGCGTGCTGCTTGCTGTTTCTGCTGCCTTCTGCCTGCGTGGGCTGTGTCTCCTCTGTGACACCCCTCTGCCCCGACACCCTCCCTTGGAGCCACCGTGCACTGAAATTTCTACAATTATGAGCCTAAGGAACCCTTTCCTGCCTTCAATTTCGGTGTTGGGTATTTTGTCTTAGCAGAGAGAAAAAACTAAGACACAGTCTGTTTACATGTGAGCCCATTGAAGACTGTCTTCCTTTTCTGTAGTCTGTCTGTCATTCTTTCTGCTAATAGGGCAGCACACTTCACAGGGGATTTTGAAACTCTGTCCCTTAAAGAAGCTGTGACATTCCCAGGCGTATTTTGTAGTGAGAAGGCTTACTCTTTTATTTTTCCTTTCAGCATTTGTGCCTGTAAAGTTTGCAAAGTATGGGCGATCTTGTATTTCATATCTATTTTCATAGTGTGCGTCCCTCCATTTCTCTTCCTTCTGCCACCTCGCAGTTCACCAAGCCACAGCAAACAGGACATTTTTAATCTACTCTCACAGTCCTTAGACATTGTCCAAAAGAAAGTGTGATTGCTTTCATTAGCTTTCCAAACTATCACGCATAAATCTTGCTTAGTGTTCAATTAAACCTTTATCTGTAAAACCAGGTTGAAGTTTCAGAATGCTGTGCAGATAAAATCAGAGAAGGAAGAAGGATCAATTCCCTAAATAACAAGTTGAGAGAAAAAGATGTTTTCTTAGATCCCTCAGAATAATTCGTCAGGTATTTTTCTCCTTATTTTTTGTTGAATTCGGATTTGTAGGCTCCTTTTTTGTTGCTTTAGTGACCTTGTACAAGGACACTGGGTTTCGCCAGCAGGAGAAGCGGAGCTCCCACTCCACTGTGGCTGTAGCACTGAATTCCCGCCTGGCCTCCAACTTCCTGTGAGATGAGGCAGATGGGTGGAGAATTAGCATTTGAAGACCAAGACATGAAGTAAACATTGGAGAACTCACCTCATATAAGCTTTTTATGAGTAGAGTTGAGCTGTATTGTGTCATGAATCTCACACTTTTTCCCGGAAATGCGTGTCTGGTGATGTAGGAGGCCGTGACCTTCGAGGATGTGGCTGTGAACTTCTCCAGGGCGGAGTGGGCTTTGCTGGATCCATCCCAGAAGAAGCTCTACAGAGATGTGATGTGGGAAACCTTTAGGAACCTGGCTGCCGTCGGTAAGGACGACGCCGTTCTCTCATTTATGCACCCGGAGAGCGTTGGATCGTGTTCACCAGCACGGTTTCCTTAATGGGAGGATGGAAATGTTATGATGTATCTTCCAGGCATGGTCCCATTTTGCCGTGAATGTAACTGGAATGTACTGAGTTTTATATAATATAGTAAGTTTTCATTATACTTCTGTTTCTACACTTCAGGAAGAAACTCAGATGACCAGCAAATTGAAGAGAAGTACAGAAATTACAGGAGATATCTAAGGTAATTTGCACTCAGGGAAATTTCCTCATGTGTCAGAGTATTAAGCCTCCTACACAAAGAACTTCCTTAATCTCAAACTTCCTAATCTCAAAATTTCTCAGTGGACATAGACACACTGAACCTCTCTAATGTGACAACCTAGTGTTTGAAATATTCCAGTATCTGAAATGTGGCACTCATATTATGCTAATACTGATATCACTGAAGTAATATAAAAGAACAGACAGCCGGATGAATTGACATCCCCCTGTAATCTTACCACTCTGGATGCTGAGGCAGGAAAATTGGCACAAGTTCCAGGCCATCCCGGCCACACAGCAAGTTCAAAGCCAGCCTCAACTACAAAGTGGGATGCTGTTCGAAATTTTTTTTTAAAGTTCAAATTTTGTTCCATGCTCAGATTTACGGACATGTTGAATGAAATTGCATTCAGGTATTGAAAACAGGAGGATATGTAAGAAATTTTGTATGTACACTGAAAGCTAACATATATGTGTGTGTGTTTGTGTGTGTTTAAAAAATAACTTTCAAAGCAAACAAATTATATATGAGGTTATATGTAGTTAAGTGTGATACATTCAGTGTTTGAAAAAATGCTAATGTTGTAAACTTTCAAAATCCAAGTGAATGCCACTGTTTTGATGACATTTCTTTTCAAGCACTCTTCCAAAGCCCACAGTGATTTGTGCTTCAAAATATTAGAAGGCATATCCCCATGGTATTGGTGGGACTATCAGTGTGCTATAATATCTGTGTATAGAGATTCCACAAAAAAGGAAAAATAGACATTCTGTTTTATCACACTACACTTTTTTTGGTGTTTTTAAGATGGGGTCTCACTATGTACCCTAGGCTGGACTAAAGTCGCAGAATGCTTCTGCCTCAGCCTCCCAAGTGCTGGGATGTTGTGTATACCACCACATCTGGCTGTATCCAGCTATACTTTTACTGCGTATATTCCCCACAATGTTAAAGTAACCATGTTACAGTGGTGCTTACATACTCTTTGTAGCAGCACAACTTAGTAAAGCTAAGCTCTAGAAAAGGCCTAAAGGCGCATTCACAGGTGAGTTGGTTAAGGAAATATGGGATAGTCTGGGCATAAAGGGGCGTGCTTGGAATCCTAGAACTCCAGGAAGCTGAAGCAGGATGATCATGCATTCATGCTCTGTCTAGGCAACTTAATGATTAAGGAGACTCTGTTTCAAAATAAAAATTAAAAATCCCATGGATGTCTGAGTGCTAAAACCCTAGATTCAATTTCCAGCCATGAAAAATGTGGTGTTTACACATAATGGAATAATAGCATCCACAAAAGCATGAAGTGATGGCATTTACGAAAATATGGATGGATTTAGAGCCCATAATTTTAGATTAAATAAGTCAGACAGACATTTCAATATCACAAGTTATATTTTACATGAGAAACACACAACATGAATAAGGAGTAAATAGAGGACGGGTGGTAGAAATGAGAGAGCAGATACTTTGGGGTGGGTGAAGCAGCTCAGTGGAAGGTGAGGGAGTGGGATCATGGAGGAAAATGTGACAACAACCATCAGTACGTGGGACATGTTTCATCAGGATGTGTTCCAGATCATCAGAATGAAAGTAAGTATTGTGTATGTTAAATGGGCCGAGTACAAACTCCCAAGTGAATCCTACTGTTTGGGTGAAAGCGGGGTCCAAGCCATCATGCAGAGTGTGCAGTAAGTGGATGATTGTGTATTCTTCGGGGGCCTCCAACCAGGTCTCCTTATGATAAAGCGTTACTAAAGGACACTATTAAATGTGATGGGTTGTTTTGTTACTCTCCCATTTTACAGAACTGAAGAGTTAGACCAATCCTGTCAATATACATTATGGTATCAACATGGAGAAATGGTTTCTCAGGCTCCAGATACAAATGTGCCCATAAAAGTCATTGGTACAAACCCAGGTGAAAGTCCTTCGTCAGCAGATGGGCCCACCATGGCTAACAGTGTGCTCAAACCACATGAGCAGAAGGGATTTCAAGAGAAGCTGTCTGCCTGTAACAAGCGTGGCAAGGTCTGCACAAAATTCCAGTTTTTTCAGAAATATACAAAGATATGTCCTGGGGAGAAACCCCATAAATATATGCCATCTGCAAAATCCTATGTTGACCCCGCTGAAGAAAGTACCACTGCAGAGAACCCAGATGTCAAATCACTCATTACGCCCAACGATGTTCAAATGGAGCAAAAACGTCCCAGTAAATTGAATATGTATATGTGTGCACCATGGGGAAAAACTTTTACTTCTCACCATGACATTCAGACGCATCAGAAAGCTCACTCTGGAGAAAAAACCCAGGTATATAAACACTATGGAAAATCCTTCACTAACAATTCCTTGGGTAATCATGGAAGAAGCCACAAGGGGGAGAAACCCTATGTATGTAACCAATGTGGGAAAGCCTTCAGCAGAAAAGACAATTGCCAAATGCATGAATGGACTCACACTGGGGAGAAACCCTATGTGTGTAAGCAGTGTGGGAAAGCTTTTAGTACTCATTACAGTTGTCAAATTCATGAACGAATTCACTCTGGGGAGAAACCCTACATATGTGAGCAGTGTGGGAAAGCTTTCGGCAGAAAAGATAATTGGCAAATGCATGAACGGACTCACACTGGAGAGAAACCCTATGTGTGTAACCAGTGTGGGAAAGCCTTCAGTAGACAAGATAATTGTCAAGAACATGAAAGAACCCACAGTGGAGAGAAACCCTATGTATGTAAGCAGTGTGGGAAAGCTTTTAGATCACACAGAAATTGCCAAAGACATGTACAGACTCACTCTGAAGAGAAACCCTATGTATGTAAGCAGTGTGGAAAAGCTTTTGTCAGACACAGAGATTGTGAAACACATGAACGGACTCACACTGGGGAGAAACCCTATATATGTAAGCAATGTGGGAAAGCTTTCAGCACTCGTGGTGTTTGTCAAAAGCACGAACGGACTCACACTGGGGAGAAACCGTATGTATGTAATCATTGTGGGAAAGCGTTCAGCAGACAAGACTGTTGTCAAGAACATGAAAGGATACACAGTGGGGACAAACCCTATGTATGTAAGCAGTGTGGGAAAGGTTTCATTACATATCACAAGTGTCAAATACATGAAAGAATTCACACTGGGGAAAAACCCTATGCATGTAAGCTGTGTGGAAAAGCTTTCAGGACAAGTGGTATATGTCAGACTCATGAACAGACTCACACAGGGGAGAAACCCTATGTATGTACGCAATGTGGGAAAGCCTTCAGCAGAAAGGTTGGTTGGCAGATACATGAAAGGACTCACACAGGCGAGAAGCCCTATGCGTGTAAGCAGTGTGGCAAAGCTTTCAGCACAAGTGCTGTGTGTCAGAATCATGAATGGAGTCACACTGGAGAGAAACCCTATGTATGTCAGCAATGTGGGAAAGCCTTCAGTAGACAGTATAATTGTCAAGAACATGAAAGAACTCATACAGGAGAGAAACCGTACGTGTGTAAGTACTGTGGGAAAGCTTTCAGCAGAAAAGCAGTTCGGAAAATACATGAAAGGATTCATACTGGGGAGAAACCTTATGTATGTAAGCAGTGTGGGAAAGCCTTTGTCAGACACAGAGATTGTGAAACACATGTGTGGACTCACATGGAAGAGAAACCCTATGTATGTAAGCAGTGTGGGAAAGCCTTTGTCAGACACAGAGATTACGAAACACATGTACGGATTCACACTGGGGAGAAACCTTATGTATGTAAACAATGTGGGAAAGCCTTCAGCACAGGTCGTGTTTGTCAGCAGCACGAACGTACTCACATTGGAGAGAAACCCTATGTGTGTAACCAATGTGGGAAAGCCTTCAGCAGACAATACACTTGTCAAGAACATGAAAGAACCCACAGTGGAGAGAAACCCCATGTATGTCAGCAGTGCGGGAAAGCTTTCAGATTACGCAGACATTATCAAAGACACGTACAGACGCATCGTGGGGAGAAACAGTATATATGTAAGCAATGTGGGAAAGCCTTTAGCGCACACAGAGATTGTCAAGAACATGAGAGGACTCACACTCCGGGAGAAATCCTATGTATGTAAATCATGTGGGGAAACTCACCACATTGTGTTTGACAAAGTAATGGAAGAAGTCACTGGCGAATAAACACACATATGTAATCAATGTCAAAGCTTTCAGCTCACATGGTTATTGATAAATAATTTTCAAAGTCATAAAGGAACACAGTGTTGAAATGCTGTGTATGTAAATTGTGTGTGAATGCATTCAGTACACAGAGGTACTGTCAAATACGTGAAACAAATTATGCTTGGGAGAAGGTCCATAGAAACAGGAAGGAAAAGCCTCAGCAGTGAGCATCAGGTATTAAAGGAGAATACAGTAACTGAATATCTGAAGTGACTTAGACATGAATCAGACTGGGGAGAACCTTTTTTTCAAAACAGTATGGAACCTCTTTCCACAGAAGTAGTATTATGTACACGAAAGAATTCAGAGTGAGACTTGGATGATATGCGAGCAATGTGGCAGGTTTTTTTAATTAAATACATGGAAGAACTCACATGATAGGGAACATAATATATGTGGAAATCCTCAATTCTTCCACTTCCAATACATGAAAAAACTCCCACTAAACAGAAACTGTGTGTAAATAATGTGAGAAAGCATTGTGTAATGTCCATAACATCAAAGAACTTAGAAATTCATGAGTGTTAGTATAAGTACAGAACAAGGGAAATCTTCATTTTTACATACTTTTCATAAAACATTTCATTGCACGGTGGAGAAATTCACATCAATGTTTATTATGTGGGGACGCCTATAGTCATTTTGTTTTAATTCATGGGGCAAATAAACAGTACTGCAAGAAAACATTGATGTAAAGGTGGTACACAAGTTCAGTTTTCCTCAGTTTGAGAATAAATATTGTGTCAAAACTCAGTGAATGTATAGACGTCTCAGGTATAACTCATATATTCCAAATCCTTTGATCATTTCTCAGACATTTCAAACCTAAAAAATGAGTTGTATAAAAATTAGATCAATTATTTCTCCAAAAAATGCACATACGGAGGAGATATCCTAAAATGTAAATATTTCAAGCTCTGTCTTAATATAGATCTAATTAAATAACTTTAAAGTTCTCTTTTAAGAAAAAGTATTGTAGCCAGGAGTAGGGGTGCATGCCTGTAATCCCAGTACTTGGGAGGCTGAGGCAGGAGAATCATTGTGATTTCCAGGCCAGCCTGATTACATAGCAAAGCCCTATTTCAAACAAAACAAAACAAAAATAAATAAATGTGTTCACATAATTCTGTAGCTTTTGATAAGTAATAGCACAGGAGTTTATATTGTCTCTTAAAGTACATAATAATTTTCATTATTTTGTGCTATATTAGATCCAAAGATGAAGTAACTTGCATTTTTTGCATGACTTTAGGCTCAGTAATTAGCAGGTTATTTTTGTTTCTTTTTTTGTGGTTAGTAATTGTGCGGTAACATGACTCCAAAACTGCATTTTCCTTAACTGGTGTTATTTTTCCTCTAGCTTGTATTTCAAACTTTGCTGCACACTATTATTCTAGTACGAATTTTTTAATTGGATGTCACATTTTACAATTATATTCCTGTTAATTTTTGTTGTTGTTGTTGTTTTTCCTATACCGGGAATCGAACCCATGACCTTGAGCTTGCCAGGCAGGCGCTGTGCCGCTGAGCTAAATTCCCAGCCCCGATTCCTGTTAATTTTTGTACATGTATTTAAATGTTCATCTCTTTTCCAACAACATGTAAATTAGCAAATATCTGTTTTTTAATATTCTAAGATGTCTATGCATATATATACCAACATAATTACAGATTATAGACAGTGCATAATTCTGTTTTTTCTCTTATCAGACCCATTAATATCCTGTGTGTAAAATATCGTTTTTTTATCATTAAATTTTACTTTTCTGCTCATATTGCCATTCTTTATTTGGGAGGTAATTATTCAATCTGCCATCCCAAAAAAATCTATATTTTTGCGAGTCCCCCACTGATTGAGACAAGCAGAACCATATTTTCTCAAAGAAGATACAGTGCAGTGTAATAATTAACCTCTCCACCAGCTATAAATGGTGATACGATTTGTCAGCAAGAACATGGTCAGGGATTTTTTTTTTTTAAACTGGGAATTGAACTAAGGACCTTGCTCTTGCTAGGCAGGTGCTGTGCTACTGAGCTGTATCCCTGCCCACTCTTAGGAACTTTTGACAGTGTTGATGTTCGTTTGGACAGGTTTCTATACTTCATAATGAAGCAGTATTTTTTTATGCTGTGAATACACTTTGTGCCTTGGGAAAAAGATTTTAACCAGGGAAGTTCACATCACTTATTAAAGTAGAATATGATTACTTTTTGTGATTCATTTGTGTTGTCTTTTATCAGCTTTAGAGATAAATGTATACTGGTTTTTATCATCATAAGTAACTACCACTGTCTAAGGATTGAAGGAAGTGATGTCAGGTCCACTGCATAAGACTTAAGACCGCTGTCTGTGAGACCAGCTGGCCTCCTTGCCTTATTTTGCCTTGTTATTTGCCAGTACTGCAGTGCTCTGTAAAACATCCTGCATTGTTTTGTCCTACAATTTGTAGCTGCTCAATTTACCTGGGGGTTGCCTTCTAATAACGTTAAGTCAAGCCATAAGTGGAAAAGGCATTAAGTTGTTCTAACATTGTGAACACTATACCTCATTCTAACCTAAGTTAATTGTGTTTAGACAATTAAATTAACCATCAAGTGAGCAATATCTTACAAATTTGAGCTTATCTATTTTGCTTTGTTTGAGACAGTGTTGCCACGTCGCCCAGGCTGTCCTTGATCTCACGGCAATCCTCAGGCTCCCAAGTGCAGATACTACAGGCATTCACTACCTGGCAAAATTTATGTCTGTCTTACAATGAAATATTAAATGTGCTTCTTGAAGTATGCTACATTGCAGAATATAGCACTGCCATTTACACGCCTAAACATGTGGCTAACTTTACTACAGCTCGTTTCTAATTCTTACCATCATTGGAACATTGCACAGTGCCTACTGCTATTCCAGCCAAAGGAAAAGTGGATATAGAGGTCATTTTTTCATGAGAATATTAATTTTCTACCAGTTTAGCATCAAAAAATCTCATTGGTACCAGCAGTTTCTGTCTGTAATCCCACCACCCAAGCAACATTTGGAACCAACCTGTGTGACTCAACAGAACATGTGAGAAGAAAAGCAAGAAATACCACAGACGTACCTCACACTGCATTAATATTCTTGGGTAAACCTTTGTTTAATCTGCCAGGCACCATTGCAAAGGCTTATAATCCTAGCACATGGAAGGCTGAGGCAGGGGGATCTGTGTGACGTCTAGACCAACCTGGACTGCGTAGTGAGTTGAAGGCCAGGCTATGAAGGTAGTAAGAGCCTGTCTGAAAAAAAAAAAAATCCTGTTTTACTAAGCAGTAATAATAGCCTGATTATTTCTTCAGTTTTGTGTTGTGATTTATTCACTTGCATGATTGCATAATTGTTACTACAGCATTTCATCATGCATGTGTCCTCATGTCACAGTCATGAAATTCAAATGTGCTGTAATAATTAATGATTTTACGCACTTGAGAGCATTTGAGGTCAGCAGTGCTGAAGAGTCATGGGACGGATCCACCAGGCTGGGGGAGCACGTTTATAGTTGTGGATGTCCACATCAGAAGAACAGAGTGAGTCCACATAAATAACCTGAGCGTGCACATCAAGGTCCTGGAAAACCAAGGACACCTCCAACACAACGCTCATACACAGAAGGCGTGTGTGAAGAGCAAAACAAAAATTGATAAAATTGAGGCTGATGAAATATCACACAGTCATCTAATTAGATGCAGAAAAGGCCTTTGACAAAATACAGTATTGATGATAAAAACATGAAAGAAAAAGAGATAGAACCTTACCTCAACCTGATAGAAGTCACTTACAAAAATCTTACTGGGAACATTACAGTGAATGTGTAAATACTGAAATATTTTCCTAAATATTAGGAAGAAATAGGTGTTCACTATGAAAACTTGTTAATGTTCCCCCCCCAAAATTTAGCCCTACAAATGAAGAAAAAGGGATTTTATATATATATATATATATATATATATATATATATATATATAAAATAGAGGTGATACATAAAATATAATTATCCACAATGGAGTACTGCTCTGCCCTAAAGAAGAATAAATTGGAGTCATTTATAGCAATGGGAATGCATCTAAAGACCATAATATTAAAATACATCAGACAGGGTGGGGAAAATGGTAGAGTTGTGAGGGAAATCAGGGCAGTCTCCCTGATACTCAGATTGCACATGGCTCCTCTCCAGGCTCCAGTTTTTACTCTCCCACTTGAACTGAGGGAGAGATGAAAATTGGAGACATTTGTGGTCAGACAGCAGGCTCAAAAGAGACCCCAAGAGCCATCTGAGCTAAAGGTCCGAGCCCGCCCTCCCACGGCCACATCCCAGGTGCAGCCTGACTCTGGATTTAAAATCATGGCAGTGGCGTGCTTCCCCAGTGTCCGCTGGTGCCGGCTTCCTGCACAGGTGTTTCTGACTACCTGCTGCATCTACCAGCGTGAGCGGGGACGGGTCTGGACTTGGACTCACCCCAAACTGTAGATCCTGGAAGACGGACAATAAAAATTACAAATATTTTTCACAAATTTTTTTTTTAGAAGTCTATATTGTTTTCTCTTCGTTCTTCAACAGTTTGTTTTGCAAAATTCCTGTTGTCCTTTTCCCACCTATTCTCTTACATTTTTTCTGTTCTGCTTTTTACTTTTTCCCCCTTGAATTTTTCTCCTTTTCTTCTTTGTATGATTTCTTTTTTGTCCCTTCTTTATTCTACATTTGAGCGGTTTTTCTAGTTAAATTTTACTCGTACACATATCCCTCCAGTGCCTTTAGGGACCTTTCACAGCACTTCCGCTCTGCCTTCTCAGACTGTTTACGTTAAGGTCACACATCTTTCTTCTTTCGTCCTCTCTCCCTAATCCCCGGTATCTTTTACAGTATACCCATAAAATTTTACTGGGTTTTACATAGTTGAGTCTGTAAAATTATCATTGAACTCCTTTGTACCATTAGAGATGTAGATTCACAT